AAGAGGGACAATGGGCCCCCTAACCATCTGTCTTCTCTATCCAAAATGTGAACATTGGCATCCTCAAAAGACAGATGGTTTGAAAGAAGCCATCTATGCCCACTGTGAAAGACCATTTTTGAACAAAGGCGGTGGCTTACGACACTGTCTGCCATCTATAATCCAGTTTGGAGATCCCTTCCCTTAACACCGACTCACATCCTTGGCCATTTGACCTCAGTAAGTCACATGACAGGGTGAGGCTAGGTTTCACAGTGGGTTCACCCGTAACCTTGGCTGATTGTGATCCACACCCGTTTTCACACCTTGGTTCACGTGATTACGTAAATCATCAATAGGGGGTCCATAACCCTCTTGGGGGGAGGGGGGGGGACACTCCCATAGGGCTTAAACTCTACTCCCCACCATTTGACCCTAGAACTGAAAAAGCTTCTCAGATGAGAGTTGAAACGTCTTCAAGCAATTTAAAGAAGTCCAGATGCTTTTCTTTCCAAGCTCCTTAGACTATATAGTGTAAGCTGCACTACGGTGTTGTTACAGTGGGTTGGACACGTCCTGATTTTTTTTGCTGCAGCCATTTTCAAAATGAATGAGGATGGACTGAGGAAGTCTGATTGTGCAGGCTTTTACATGACAAAGGGTGCACAGGGATTTCCAGATGGCATGATACAGAAGATCAATAATGGACAAAAGAACCATAACAGCACGTAATGTAACGTGCGAAGCAACTAATGAGGCGAACACAAATGGGACATTACTTGCCCTCGGAATGCTAACATTTGCAACACCAGGGCAATGTGTGCAATATTCTGCTTGGTGCAAGATGCTACAGACATAGGCTGAACTTAAAGGATGATCTAGTGACTTGAGAAAGTGATTACTCTTGATAAATTGTTCTCAAACACATGGGGTGTTTTTACAGATCAATGTTCTTCAACATAAACTGGAACATCCCTATTTCTTAGAGTAACTTTATCAAAGGAGGACTTTGTTTATGGGTCAATGGCAGCTAAAACCACAAAAAACCCACAAATCTGTGGTTTTAAGTTTCATTATTGCAAAATTGGAAAGAAATTAAAAAGAAAAATCCCAACTATCCATCATTGAGCAGGGTTGAACTCTGGTGAATAGATTAAGACACAAAAAGGTCAGCCATTTAGTTAAAAATGACACACTCTGTTCTTCTCACCTGCTGAAGCTGCTGCTTGTATTCCTCCCGGTGGCTCTTCTTCATGTGTCTCTCCTTGGCTTTTGCACTGCAGAACGTGATGAAGCATTGGAAGCACTGCAGGTTTTCATGCTGGTCTGAATCCACAACAGAATGTCAAATTTATTATGTGTTGTTGCTTTTAGGAAGCTGATTTAAAAGGTATGATCGCTGCATCACTCACAGGAATGAACCGAGGGAGCCGGAGGTCCATTCAGAGTGATGGGTTTGTATGGTTCTGCCGGCTTTTCCGGGGGAGCCTCGGGTGGTGGATCCGGCAAGCCCCGTCCCATCATCTCCTCTATGTTCAAGATCTCCGAGTCCATGGTGTGATGTTCGCTGTTCTTCCTGGAGTCAATTTAAAAACAAAAAAGACACGAAACAAAGTTTAATTACCACGTGGAACAAACACTAGTTTAATAAACAGCGGGAAACATAACAGCGCCAGAAACGCAGATATGTGCTCATTACGTTAAGTTCAACAGATGATTATACAGAAAAATAATCGCCTTACTAGGTTGGTTACTTACGTTGGTTGAAATAACGCCAATGCAACAGTCTTTAGAATCATCAGCGTATAAAACCCAAAGGCCGTGAAACCTCTATACAGCATACACTTCACTAAAAAAGCATTGATATATCCACGCGGTAAATTGAGGCTGTTTCAATTACAGATAACCGCCTTAGCTAAATGTTTACGTTAACGTTAATAACAAAAGTACCATGCTAGCTCAATACCAGTTTACAGGTTGGCGCTGACACCGACTCCCAGAGAGGACCGCTGAGTTTCCATGTCCCCCTTTTTTTACATACCAATTTTTTTAAAACTTATCTTGTGACGTTTACATACATCTGCCGTGAATCAATACGAAACAAGCTAAGACCTAAACGAAAGGCAAATAATTCGCTACAAGCCATTACCTCTAGATGTCGCGTCTACGGTACCGAAAAGTTTACGGTGACTGCAGACAGTTACGTCTTTTCATTGGCCCGGAGACTACGGTGACTGTAGATTCGGTAGACTCTGGCCCAATAGGAGCGCTGGCCCACTGTAGACTACCAATCGTCTTTCGACGGAAGTTGCGTCACCAAAACAAGAACACGTGGCGGGACAGGGACTCAACCTGCAACTCAGCTATGTTTATGGAAAGTCGCATTTCTTTTATGTTTACGCTAAGTTATTGACTCTAAGACGCTGCTGGATTTAACTGAAGTTATACGCGGCTGAATAGCTTATTTAACTCTTTTACTATATGGATGCGGAAAGGCTGCGGAAAGGCTGCGCGTTAGCCAACATCCCATCCCCTTTTCAGTGGATACAATTGGTGATGGCAACATTTTTTTATACCGTTACAAAAACAACAACAACAAAATAACCCATCGGCCCACCGGGCAAATGTCCAGTCCAGCTATGTATACAACTAATTTTCCAAAGCCCCTCACATTGCAGTCATAATCAAGTTCACTGATTGACTATACTGCAGTGCTGTTTTTGTGTATTCCTGTTTCATCGACTATAATAAAGTGCTCCGTGTTACAGTAACAGTGAGTGGTGGATTCATTTAATGAAAGCCTAAGTCGGTCTTTAGTCTGCTTTAGACTTACTGACCTTCTTTGAATCAGCATCACAATAGTCCTAAGGGCACTGACAAAACAATTATAAATAAATAAAATCTATAGAAAGAGAAACATGTTTGATATGTTTTTTAAGTTACACACAAATAGCATTCTCCGCTAACAGGCTCAGAAGACACAACTATATAGAAACACAGAACAGAACCAAAGAAGCAATGTGTACAATCGAGTGACAAAGACAAGTTTGTGAAGTATTTGTACAACACATGCCTGCAACAGCTTCAGTGTTTCCTGGAATTGATTCCGAAACACCAACAGAGCTATTATCTCTCTGTTATGTCAGTCAAATAATCAACTATTCAGTGACCCCTTTTAAAATACTTAGTCACAGGACAAAGATAATCTCTCATAGCAACTTTGTACTGATTGTACAACTCATTTCTCTTTGACAAGTGGACCCTAACATGGCAGCAAAGTGCAACAATGTCTCTCTGTGTAGGGGGTCAAGAGTTCAGGGTATGCCTTTAATTTCTTGCCTGTCTGTAAATGACACTGTAATGGTATGATTAATCCTTTAGATTTTACCAGTATAAAAGTGAAACAATTACATTGTCTCATTGGTGCAACCTGAAAGACTCCCCTTACAGCTTTGCATATTATAATAAGACAGAGAAAAGAAAGCAATTCATTCTCAATTTCTGTTAATTACAGGGCATTTTCCAACCTGTTTTGGTTCAAAAGAGCCAAAGGAAAGTCCTCATCAATATTGACAAGTCCTATCGGCCATTCATTATGCCTCACTTATGCATCTTTGATGAGCACCAAATCTCCCACCTTGAGGTTTGCATGCTTATGTTGCCACTTGTTTCGGCTCTGCAGTGTCCCTAGGTACTCCTGTCTCCATCTGTTCCAAAATGTGTTTGCAAGGTATTGAACTTGCCTCCACTGTTGTCAATGGAGATCTTTCTCAATAAAACTTCCTGGAGGCCAGGCACACCTTCTGGGTGCCTGGCCTCTTCTTGTGCGCCTTGTGACCACAGGCCAAAGGCCAAATACATCCAAGCCCACAAAGGTGAAAGGAGGTTCAGTGCTGATACGATCAGGAGGCAGATCTGCCATTCTTTGCTCAGTTGCTCTCTTCCTAAGTCTGTTGCAGATGATACAGTTGTTGATAATCTGCTTGATTAGCCTCCTGGCTCCTGTAGTCCAGTATCAAGCAGTACAGACTGCACCTTCTGTGAACACCCGTCCCTGATGCATTACTCGCTGGTGATGGTATTCTACTATCAACTTGGCAATGTGGCTACCACCTGGAATAATGATAGGATGTTTCTCCTTGTAGTCGATGTTAGCGTGTTTCAGCCTTCTGCCTGTCCTCAAGTGTCCTTCATTATCACAGTGGGGACTGAGTTTCTGTAAAGAGCTTTGTTTTGGTATGTCTTTACTATCTGGTCGTTAAGTCTGACATAACTAGCCGTGTCTGGGCCTAAACTCCGCTGCAGGTCCATATATCAAACGATCACTATGGCATTACTGAGAGTTG